TTATATGAAATTTCTACTTTATTATGTATTACTAAAAGTAATTAATATACAAAAGTAGAACATTAATAAAGATAAATATAAATCATATAACGAATTAATTATAGCAATAAATTTTGGTATAATAAAGCTAAATAGCCTTAAATATTTTATTAAAAAATGTATTACTAAAGCAATAATTTTGTATAAAAAAAACTGAACTATATTTATTATAATAGCCAATCAGAGAGTATAGTATTACATAATCAATCGCTTTTAATTATATGATAGAGGCATGGCTTTTAGCTCAAAGGCATGCCCTCAGGCATGCCTAGGGGGGCATGCCCATGGACCCCGTGCCCGCCACCCTAGCTTCAAGAGAACGTGTAATTAACCGTAATCATTTAAACATTCGAATAAATTACTAGTGTGAGTATGAAATTTAATTCGATTCACTTTAACGATTGTGTTACAAGATATTGATTAACTATAATCATTCAATTGTTCAATAAATTACTAACGTGAGAATAAAATTTAATTCTATTCACCTTAATAATTGTATTTCAAGAGAACATGTGATTAACCAAAATGTAATAAATTCATCAAATATCAAGAAATTTTTACTTCAAATTATGGTAAAAATTAACAATCTCAACTGTAACCATATTGATAATAAATCGCATATATTGCAATAAATAATTACTTCTGTAAAGAATCTTTAACAGTAATTTGATTAAACAAATAAGATGGGTAGCGCTTCGCGCCATCTATCACACTAGTCATCATTATAGATATTCCATAGATGGCAAGCTGTATACAAAATACACGTAATTGAAAGTCTGATGACAGGTTTTCCCTTGACGACACTCATATGATTTGCATTATACCAGTATGATCACATGAAATGTGAGAGGATGGTTCCATTCAACTTTTTTGTCATGGCCTATGCTGATTTTGAAAAATCTTTTTTTTGGTAGGAACTAAGCCTTAACTATATATCGTATCTCACTGAAATAGCAAATTCTGTAACAGGATATTTTATAACAACTCATGATGCAAATTACGATAATTCCAATGCAAACTAACCAGAGTAATAAATAAGTTTCGTAACAGAATTTTTTACAACACCTCATAATTAAAATTACGACAAACTAACTCAACTTTAACTACAAACTGTTATCACTCGAATAGAAAGTAAGTTTACTGTAGCCCATGGTAGAAATCAACATAATCCCAATGTAAGCTAACTTAACCTTAATTATATACTTTGATTACCAGAATACATAGCGAGCTCTGTAACAGAATTTTTTACAGTAACAACCGATTTTTTAAAAAAAATTCCAGTGCCAGAGGCACAGGCAAAAAACTAATGTAGAGTTTAAATTCGCCGAGCAGAGCGAGACCAAAACATAAAAATGTAAAACCGAGCTTAAAGCAGTCAAGCCAACAAATTTCGAATAAACAATATTAACTATGTCATATGCCGTTATGCTGCTTATAAATCTAATTACATAATTGGCGGCGCAGCCGCCACATGAGCATGTGCTAGTTAGTTACTATAAAATATATTGTACCACACAAATCATATGACAAATTATCTACGTTAACTCCGATTTCTGAATTAATATTATATTCGAATAAAATGATCCAAACGACCCTTTATTAAGCGTGAATAATATTTTGTTTATATATAATACTGTAGTAAAAATGCTAATGAAACCCAAGACAATTTTAATAATGAAACGCAATGGAATTTGTTATAGGACACAAATTTCACTTCAAGCAGCTTCTGTATATATGAATTAAAAGAAATTGGCCAAAGGTGAAAAAAAGAGTCATTTTTGATGACAGCGGCTACTAACAAGCTCGAAAAGAATACATGTACATAAAAAAAGAAAGTTAAAATAATACAAAATAAAACAAGAAAATAATTTATAATTCTGTATTTTAATAGCAAATTATATTCCTATCAGTTCCTATCCGTACAATACAAAAATTTTGTGTTTTTTCGAAACTTATTATATATCGATATTATTGTTAATATTTAAAATCCAATATTGGATTGAAATTCGGAGATTGACATAACCTGTCCCAGATTTTCTATTTGCCAAATTGAGAAATGATTTGACAATCGAATTACGTGATAAAAAGCTCCAATTTTTTTTCGCAAACCTTGTAAATATGATAAATTCGAAATACAAAATTAAGTGCTAGTACATGCTGAAGAAGAATGCACTTAAAATTTTTTATCAACAAAACAAAATAAGCTCAAATGAAAATCTGATCGGAAAATTAGAAAATGGTCCGAAATTACACACTTGCATGTGGTGACGTCGGCATAGAAATTCTTATATTATTTAGTCTCATTTCCCGGTAAATTAGCCATTTATTTGGAGTACATAGTAAAAGTAGTACGATACGGAAACGCAGATTAGGATGAACGTGTGAAAATCGTAATATTACGTACGGTTTATAAATAAAAATTCTTAAAGCCAAAGCTATTTTTCATATTACTCTATCCGTTAAAAAGAGTTAATATTGGATTTTTTTTACAAGCTTATGTTAATCGTGCCTACTAAAATTTAGTGTAATTTTCGTATGTCCGTCTGAATTTTATGGTATTATTTATTTGATACACAAAAATGTACGCATATATTTGGATATATTGTTTCTAATTTCTTTCAATCCTTTAAATCCCGTGTAGCCAAAATAAGGGTGAAAAAAAATAAAGTTCCTAAATAATAAAATATTATTACTGTATATAAAGTGTAGCCAATATATACTATTTATATTGTAAGTAACCTAACTCGAACTTTAGTTTAACCTTACCTTAATTCTAATTTAATTGTAAAATTTTATAATATAGGTAATATCACTATCGAGGAAATTTGTTATAAATTTAAAATATTCTTAAGCATATATAGTGTTTTGTAAGATAAAAAAAATACACATTTCTTACAAATCTTTATCAGGGAAACATATTTTTTATAATGTCTTATATGGAAATTTTATCAAACGATTTTAGTAAATTTTTTGATGAAGATAATAACTATGATGTAGAAATCAAAGTAGGTGAAGAACCTAATATCAAAATATTTCGAGGACATTCCCAAATATTTATCGCACGTTCATCGTATTTTAAATCTGCTTTTAGTCAAGGATGGGTAAGAAAAAATAATGGAATAATTAATTTTGAAAAGCCAAATATTTTACCCAAAATTTTTGAAATTATCATTCGGTAATTTTTTTTTCGGTTTCTTTTGAAAAATTTTATATTGTTTTAATATAACTTACGACTTTAATACATAGGTATATTTATACTGGAATAATTCAGTTTAATATTCTTCAAGCAGACGTTCTCCTTGAACTTCTTCTTGCATTTGATGAACTTGATTTTGATTATTTGATGAATGACTTACAGGATCACCTTTTAAATGTGGGTTCTCAGTGGATTCGAGAAAATTTTGTTTATGTCTATAAAGTTGGTTTACTGCATGATAGATTTGTAAAATTAAATGAATGCATAGATGATATCATTCGAGATGAACCTGATGTGCTATTAGACTCTAAAAATTTCACTGAATTACAAGAATCTGAACTTCTTCCTATTCTTAAACGTGACGATTTTAGTGTGAAAGATGAATATGAAATTTGGGATCACGTCATTCAATGGGGATGTGCACAACAGAATCCTAACCTTTCTATAGATTCATCTAATTGGTCAGAGGAAAATTTTGAATCTATGAGATTAACATTGAAAAATTTTATTCCCTTGGTGAGATTTTTTACTTTAACTCCGGATGAATTTTATAAATATGTTAGACCATACGAAAAAGTACTTGGTAATATTTATGAACAAGTTTTACAATCCCATCTTAATAATGAATGGCAACCTAGAGACATACAAGTGCTTCCTCGCAGAAACACCACCAAAGCAAGATTATTGAGGCATAATCACATTAAAGAAATCAAAAAACGAATATATTCTAAAAAATCTATTAGATTATTTCCTACTAAAGACCCATATGACATGGTTTTACTTGAACCAGAACAATATGACGATCTTTGCGTAGATCCAACGGTTATAGTATTTCGTATTACTGAACTTAATTTAATAATTGGAGGATATAATCCATTTAAAACAAAATATTCTAAAATTTCATATCTACCTTCTTTTAAATTGAAAGCAGAATATAGTTTTATGTTCAAAATTGATAATATTAAAAAAATTGAATTTATTTCTACTTTAGGAACTCAAGATTTTAGTTTAAGATATGATAAAATTAGGCCATTAAATATTTTTGACTTTAAATTTCAAGATAATTATAGCAAAATTCTTTATCGAAAATATTTTTATCGTAAAATTTTAGATTGTAACTCCGGTAATTATAATATTGAAGGATTGCAGGTCTTTAAAATAATTGAAAATTTTAAATAGGTTGTTATTTTTTTTTTTTAGATATAGTATAATTAACAGCAAATAAAAGATCTTATTTTTATGCATTTAATAAAAATTACATAGGTATATAACATCGATTAATAAAATAAGAGGTTTGACTAATTAATAAAACCACATTGCAAATAAAGCTATATAATTAATAACAAATAATATAAATCATACCATGATTCAATATGATTCTCCGCTTTAATTGAATTCTATATTCAAAATTTCAAATCTTTATTGGCTAGTGCGATCATACAATATTCATTACATTGCCACAAGTTTTTACATGCAAAAGTATCATCACAGTAGATTCTAATAAAAGTTGTGCTAATTATATTAAATACACAGTAAAAATATTGTTTATTAATTATTTAATACAGCATTAAAAAAATTTCTATCAATTAAATTCATCCATATATCCCTCATTCTGTCGTGGCGTTACACTGTAACGATAAAACGACCAATTCCAATACTAAGCTTATCCAAGAAAGAATCATGGATGCATAGTAGCTATCGCCACCAGTACGTGCAGTAATTTGTATAAAGTCATAATGTAAATTTGAATTTGAATAGTCTAATGTATTCAGACCGTTTCCAAGTGAAACCACATAAGCTTTACAAGATGCTAAAAAAAATAAAAAATGGTAAGCAATTAATTATTAAGTAATAAAATCCAGTAAATATTGTATGTAATGCACTGCATTCAGTACTCGAGTCTTATCAAAAAAAAAATAAATTAGGTCATTAATTGTCATGTATCATGGGTATTTAAGAAAGTGTACGCTGAGGATATTGATAACTATAAAACATTGTAATTTACCCGGGAATTGTATGATATTAAGTGAAGTGCTAAAGCAATGCATTACACAAATTACTTTATAGATTTAGTTAAATTGCATGTCAATGTAAACTTTCAAATAGCATTGACACCGTTAATTAAAATTATAAAATTTATTACCATATGGAATCAATAAAATTGCCATAATCCTAAAAAATAAATAAAAAAATATCAATACAAATTTGAGATTATTTAAAAGCATTTCTTTTTACAGTATATTTACAGGGAAACCGAATTATCAATGCTTGTTACATTAAACTTAGCAACAACCAACTTTTTAGGTAATGACCCAAAAATTCCTACATAGCGTAAATTTAATAAAATATTAGTTAAATATATCCTTTTTTTTTATTTATTTATAGATATAATAAGAATTTTAAACTTTTATACCAACAACTAGGATCATAAGGCATGAATGAAAGATGCAATATACGGCAATTCCGGTAATTTTGTGAACAAAAGAAGCATTATAACTTGAAAAACATATAATTATGTTAACAAATGCATGAATTATGATTGTTAATATAAATAATTGCATAAAATATTTACTAGTTACTACCAGCAGCAACCCCGTGCATAAAGCTAATATCTAAATAAATGATATGGTTTAGTCAAATAACTTTATTAAAACTTTCACGCAAACTAAATATAGAATAGTCACCTATTATAAAATTTAAAAAGGTAAATGCAAATATAAAGAGCTGTATAATGTCTGTCAAATAGTCAATGCCTATCATTTTTTTTTTCCCTGATAACTTTTGCACCGAAAGAGCTGAAGCTAAATGCACGCGAATCTATAAACCCTTTCTAATAAATAAGATCTAAATGTAACATTGCACACTTCAATTTGGGAAGCTTATTTGAAATTGCATATTAGGTTTGCAATTTTCATATTAGAATGTTTATCGGGAATTTGAACCAGGAAACTTTAATGCGGGTACTCCCTATAAAAAAAAATTTGTACTGTTATTGTAGGCATTGTCCAAAAAAATGTTCGGAACGGAGTCGATTTTCCGACGTTTGTACGGGACGTAAAAAATAGGAAATTTTTGACCGTATAAAAAATGTATAAAAAACGCATTTATCCAATAAACATCCTTTAAATGTTCAAAATGGAGTCGATTTTCCGAACAAAAAATCGAATAATTTCAGAATTTTCCGAACAATTCCAAGCGATTTTTTTTTTATAGGGAAACCATTTCTGCGACCTAATTAAAATGGAATAGAAACTCTATCGTCCTAACCCTAACCCTAACCCAAACTACAACGTTTATTTTCGGTAAAAATTACAATTTGTGTGGGTGCGCTACCTAAATCATCAATTATATCAATTATGCAAATAGCTGCGAATAAGGATTTGGCTTTGTGTAATATATAGTTATTGAATGCGAAGTAATAGTTTTCGACCGCCCATTAACAACGAAGCTCCACAATGTTATGTGAACGTGATGAAATGATGTTGGAATAAAGATCCAGAAAACTGGTCAGCTGAAGTTTTTAAAAAATGACGAGAACTAAATACCTAAACATATCAAAAACTTTGACATAAATGCAAACAGCGGTAACAAACTAATTAGTTTATATAATCAAAATTAAAATCTCATTTTATCTCGGAACTGTGGTCAGTATTTTATAATCAATCCTTAAGATAATATCTAGTTAAAAATAAGAATAAAACCTCTTCACATTTTCTAAATGAAATTTAAATATCATTTAGCCATTATCAAGAGACTATATTAAAATACGTAAAAAAAAAATCTCTAAGTAATGATTGAGTTCGATTCAAAGTAAGATACTTCAAAAGTTTTGGCGTAAAAGGAAAAAAACATAGATAGTATAAAAATATGAATAACAAATTTTTTGTTATAATAAAGGATACTAATTATATTGTAAGTTACAAATGTTAACTTAGAAGTGAAAACTGTCTTTTTTTTAAAAACATATAGATCGATATGTGCTGCAACTGCAGGTCCCTTAATTTTCTGACATTAAAACTTGAAAGCTTAAAAAATAAATATTGTAGCATAGTAATGCAACATAATTATATTTTTTTCATGAGATTAAAACCATAACGATATCTACGTTCGTGCTGTGCTAAACTGTAACGAAAAGATATCAGAAATCATTCTGTAAAATCTTAAGATAATTATTAATACTATCTACTGCAACCTCAACTATCTGTGATAAGCTTAAAAATAAGAATGTTAACCCATAAATTTCTATGTAAAAAATTCTTTGTGGTACCGTTAATAACAAATAAGGATATTCTGAAAAGCAAAATATAGATGTCTGTTTACATTATAAACAGGAGATGGTTCACATTTTAAAAGCTTAAATTGGCAGATATAAAATTAAACTTTCGTACAGTAAAATTAAAATGTCCCACTACTGCCTTTTGTTATGAGACCTCAAACTTGAATAGAATAATCTCCAAACTTTGGTCTAAATTGGCTTGTAAATTGACCTGTAAATAAGATGTTGCAAATGGGTAATTAA